TATTTCCTTTTCAATTTTTAATCGCGTCTTTGTTACTGTAATAGTTTACAAAAATAATACCGAGAGCATAAATATGAAGATATTTGCGAGGTATAATAAAGTTGCGCTGAATGTGTCATATATTTCCACTAAATTCTACTTATTTCAATTTGTAATTCAAATTAATTTGCAATCAGATTTATATATTCATATCTGTGAATGTACACAAGTTGCTTTTACCGCGAGCTTTTGGAACTTTATAAATAAACATCATATGTACTAAAACCGAATATAGTGACCTAATTTAGCTACACGATTTTAATTTCCATGTTTTTATTGCGCTTACATTTGTAAAGATTGCGCATTTAATCTAGTTATTCGAAAGAGATAAAGAGATCCGTATAAACAGAAAGACAGTTTTAGATCAAAACTTTTGCAGAATTTGTCGAAAATTGGGAAACTGTGTAGCGCTAATTCGCGACCGGTCACATAGGTATGATAAATTTCCATTGACATAAACCGCGCTCATGCATGCATAGCCGCGACACATCCGGGAGAATGAATTATTCTAAGGACGAACTTCTCCCCGCTGGTGTTATATGATAAATAGAAATTATCCGCGCGAAACGCCCGACCGAGTGTCATCATCAGACCGCGCTGCATATCTAGGTTGAGAATGTTACTAGTTGCCGTTACTGCAGTTAGTTTAATCCTATAATCTGCGTGCATTAATTATGATGCGTACATACGGCTGCGACATGTAAGAGCAATTTCGCATTCTAGCATAGCGAATGCGCGTTAATACTCTCATTTTATGCACTTACCGTTAAGTGCGTAATAGCTTTTAATGCGCGCCAACGCGCATGTGATCTGCATTTTTTTGGACATTGTCCATCAGAAAGCGCATCCTCGCACTCTTTTTGTACCATTAGTTAAATAAATTATGCGAAATTTGCCTTACCGTTGTCCGATCAAGTTTTAGTTGATGAATATTTTGATGAATTAAACAATTTTTTTATTATTTTTTTACTTCAAATCATGCATGGAAATCTGGAAAAATACTTTGAAAAAGTATAGATAAAAATATTTTTATTTGTGGTGAGAAATATATTGTATATCATCGATTTGGATTTATTTATTGGATATAATCGAATAATTGTTTTATATATATGTATGTATTATATTCATTTTTGTGAAATTTATAAATATTAATTATATTTGTTGGATTTGTGAAAAACATCAAAATGTTGATTTTGAAAAATATGAATTTTATATTTTTTACTGCTATATTGCATGTTTTACCTAATATTTCTAGAAAATTTACATTTTATGACATGTAAAATTAAATTTATTTCGAGCAAAAGATCGTGTATTCTCGTTTATTTCGTAAACATGGCGTCAGATTTCCTTGCACAATTTCGCGCTCGTTTCTAATCAAACTTCCGCACATAGTTAGCAATTGGTTCTTTGATATGCAAAAGACTAGAAACGTGAATGGGGGGAAACTGTACATATATACGAATATATGCACGCTTAGTTAATTTATTAAAGAAAATCAAGTTTGTATGGTTGAATGATTCTAATTAAATTCAATGGCGTAGCAATAATTCAATTAAAGTACAAAATCACGTTAACTAGAACATACACGTTGGAATTAAAAAGAGCGTTTCAATAATTCACGTGGGATTTTCATACAGCTATACAAAGCGACCTAAAAATTTATAGTAAACATTAAAGAGCAAGCTGTGAAAAACTGAAAGGATTTAATATCAAATAATTAAATATATTCAAATAAAAATAAAATAATTGAAAAAATTAAATATATTCAAATAAAAATAAAATAATTTTTTCATTTTTATAAAAAAAGAATTTTCTTCGCGTTATTTTTTATAAAGAATATTACATTCAATTTGGATTTAAATTGGCGATTTTAACGAAATATTCATATTCTTTTATTTTCCTGGGACATAGGCTTTTTTTATTTAAATACGTATCTAATTTCCTCTTTTCTTTCACGCGTCACGTGTGTTTACTCTCTCGTGAATGCAACATGGCTGTCACGGCTCTCGGGATTCGAGGCGATGCGGCGCAATGTCTCTTAAAAAATTCATCGTATATATCATCGGTGGATTGTCGCGGCTTTACAAGGCGTAGGTGGGATGCACATAAATATTCATCGAACTATCCCGGTCTGATTGCGTCGCCGCGTTGTCGATACATGCCGACTGCATTTCTATCGCGCTACATCCGATCTCTTACGGTCTAATGCCGGAACTTCGAACTCCCGACGAAACTTTGGACATGTTGCAACATCATCTCCAGTGATATATGGCAAATACTTTATTTACATTATCTAGACACATAGACCGATCTGGTGTAAATATCGCGAATAAAGTTCCAATTCAAATTTCTCGAGCAATTTTTCAAATTAAAATACGAGTTTCTGGTCCAATATTTTTATATTTTTTGTCGAATATCGAAAATATTGATAACGCTATCAACCGTTTATTTCGATGTGATTGGTATATTAAAAATAGTGAAAAATTTCACTTACCTCTCATTCGCTCGACTGATGAGGTCAAAAGAACCCCCATCTCTTATAGAGCCTTTTCGAAGACATTGAACGGCTAAAGGAAATTGATCGGGCGCCATCGTTATTTTGCGAGGATGGTCTGCAAGTGAGAGAGTTCATGAGCCGAAACCGGGGGTTCTTAAATATCCCCGACGGGAAAAGTTTGGAGAAATGCATCGGGGTCATGGCTATCGATCTTCTTGAAAACCATCTTCTTGCAGCCATTAGTGCCGAATTACCAATCATTATCGACAAAATCGATGAAAAGTTGTATGGTAATTTAATCTATATTTCCGTATTACAATTATATAATTTGTCTCTGATAAAGACGAAATAATGTGGCATGATTAAAACATGTAGACAATTTCCAGATATTTTTTTTCTATCGGAATATGTCCTTTGATATCGAGACGAGATGAATCGCTGACCGATGGGACATGCGAGACGAGAATGAATCGAGGAGCGTCGTGTGGATAATTTATTTACAAGAGTAAAACATTATGTACAAGAATGCATTTTCTCGCAAGAGAATCGTGTGAAAACTCAGATCGTGAAAAGGATGCGAGTGGGTGGGGAACACAGTTTTTTTTTCTTTTTTCGGACTAGTCGTGGGTATAAATCATATGAGTCATAAAGTCACGCGCGTGTATGTGTGTGTGTGTGGTTTACATACATTTCTCTACTATTATCTGTAAGATGTGTGTATGCGTGTGTACGTGTGTGTCCTCTTTGTGTGTTTTCCTTTAAGTTTCATTTAACACTTATGCCGTAAGTAGAAAGTACTTCGCCGCGGGTGGAGAGATCGGTTTACCCCTTTTTATTACATCGCCTTTTGGTTAAACTTGCTCGTGACACATTTATTTTACACTTAACACTTTCCTCTCATGAATTTTCTCTCTATGATCGGGAAAGGGCGCGAGACATTCTGTTTTATCTGCTTTGTCCCTTCCATCCCTCTGCCTCCTGGCGACATCCGCGTTTATGTCCCTTCACGTCAACACTCGCGCTGTGCATTATCGTTAATTCTTATTTGCATTGCGTCGTTGTTAGACATCCCGACGCAATTATCCTAAAATCTCAGCGACGACGATGTAATCTTTAATCCTTCTCTCGCGAAGAGCATAGGAACCATCTCTAATTATAAATCGTAAGAATCACCCCCCCGATCTTGTCGCCGCTGAAATTCTTGAATAATATTGACGCTCGTTTTCGTCGCTTGTAGATATGATAAGAACCCTCGACTGTTCTGTCTGTGGTGTGTACGAATTATTTTCCAACGCTTGTCGCGTTTATTATCTCAACAATAAATCGTACTGATGCTAAATTGCGAAGCATAAACTAATTTCTTGAGCTAAGCCAAACAGATGCCTGGCTAATTAAGTATTTGCGAATAGGGATTTTGTTATTCTTATTCCATCGTCTATATGCGAATATAGAGTGCAAAAGAAGCTTATCATGCGAAAATATAACTATTGGGTTGCATCGCAACATCGCCAATGGTCGCTTCTTTACAATGACTGTCGTAAATAAATCGGGATTAAATCGATATTGTATCACGATCGATATTATTCTATTATTTGATTGTGTTTACGAATCGCATTGTAAAGAAAAACAATTAAAAATAAAAAAGGGATGTCTGAAATACGATATACAATTAAAAAAAACGATGCGCTCGGTGAACTAGATGCATCGTCAATTAAATAAAAGCAAACGATCTGCTTGTTATTTAGGCGAACGGTTGTTAAACACGACGTGATAATTATGAAATTTGGACGCAATTGATGTCGAAAATATTATATTTATGCAGTACACCAATTACTGAAAACGTTCGCGAAATGAAAACGTCTCGGTTCGCTCGTTATCATTACGCAGCTATTTAATGCTCTATACGTACAGTTCAACTGTAAATATATTGCCGTTGTCACTATGACAAATGTATGAAAAGTTTCGGCTCCGAGTTCGTTTTCTTTCCGAGTTTACGGATGATCGGGGAAAAGTTCGTCGCGCAGAATCCGTGGTTCTGAGACGCCGTATATACGGCTGCCTCACACTCCGCTCTTTAACCCTTAGGCACAGAGACTCCCCTTTATTACGTAAGAACTAGCTGTCTCTCAGAGATTATCTTCATATTTCTCATTCTAGCGGCCAAACTCGCAATTAAGTTTAAGATAAACGGGTTGAGTATTTTCGTGAGAGATTAAAAAGGACAAGATAAATGTCACAATGAGAGCATTAAAATACGACATAATTAAAGTAATAACGAGGCAAGTTCAAATTTTCGCTTCAAAATGAGTGATTTAAACGGAACTGGAAAAATTTTAGTTTACAAGCGACGCATTTATATTTCGTATATATACGATTAAAAAAATAATAATTACAGTAAAATGATAAAAAATCATGTTGAGAATATAAGACTTGCATAATATTGAAATATCGTTCTTCGAAAATTAATTAATTGGATCGATTAATTGGAAAAAAAGATAAAAATTGCTTTAAAAAGTACCTGTTCGTAGATTTTGTAAGATTCATCTTTCAATTTCAATAAATTAAATTTAAATCTCACTTTAATTGCCCGCGATCACATTACGTAATTAATATATAATTACATAAATTATGTAGTCCTTCGGCCGCTAAATGACATAACTATCCAGAATCTAATCCAGAATAGTCTGTGCAAAAGAATTAACGTTAGGGATGTGTGGGCGATCGTCTCGCGATGCGTGTCCATTGATTTCATAAGTGTCTCGAGTGACCTTTGTGCACGCGCACATTATCTCAGCTGACCCAGAAGGAAGGCGAGCATCAACAGTACCGTCTTGGAGTTGGGCGAGCCGGCTGCCGTGTTTCCATGCTGCATCGCGGCCGGATGTTCACCTGAAACAGAAACAGAGCACTCGTAAGACACTCCTCTTTTATTTCGAGAGTCTCAGGATGCGGCAGAATGCGGTGGAAACGATGCAGGCTAGATGTATTATCACGGAGGGCTTAAATTTTTCGCGACATATAATGTACACAATTTTTCCTAAGAACAACAAATTGCCTTGTTATAAATGCAAAATTAGATAATCCATTATTCAATTCGGCTCAATCACTTTGTAAAATATTATATTATTTTTCGATCGCCTACATTTTTCATTCGCGCGAGATTTTGTAGTAATGTTGTGGGATTTTAATATTTTAAAACACTACACAAATTCTGCTATTATATATCAAAAATCTGCTTTTATTTAGCATAAAGAAGCGGTTTTTTTAAATATTATAATGATAAATAAAACATTTTTATTTTTCACTTCCCTCTCTATTTTTATCCCTATTTAAAAAAAATATATAATTTTAAATTTTTATATTTATGTCTTGATATTAATGCCGGCCTCTACATGACGAGCATACAATTTTCAAATTCTATTTACGTTGAAACGTTACAAAACTGTAGACTTTATACAGCGCGGTAGTAAAGGACGATGTAATAATCCGCTGCTTAGCCATTTGCATGACTAGATGACGGGGCCTCCGAGCATAAATTGTTTAAGAAATCTCTCTCCAAGGAACGGGACGGGTATTTTGAGACTAGGAATAGTCCCAAGTTTGACGTAATTTTACATGTCGGCGCCGGGGAGCCTCGACGGATTTGTAGAATTGGGGTCAGCGTAATATAGCAACAGTACTACTAGGGGAAGTGGCAGCGTGTTTCTCGTGTGTCGGGGCATTCGCACCCTCGATTGATTTCTTGGCGAACAATTCTGGAACTGGAACGAGCGTCGTGAGGGCGGTTTACGGCGACTTCTCGCCTTCACTGCCTCGACAAGCAAGCATACACACGAGCACACTTTCTTATTATCCCTCGAGCGCGAGATTCAATATTGAACCTGACATATTCATGAAAACTGATCAAGCATATAAGATTGTTTGGAAAATTTATCTCTAATGTTTTTAAGAAAGTATAACTGGCAGATCGTAACTTTATATTTTTACGTCACATCTCCCTATTATTTTAAGGATAAAGAGAAATTCTTTGTAGATTCCTCGGCTGACATCATATGCGTTCAGCAAATTGCAGTCATTCGCGACGTTGCATAGAAATGCATAAAGTGATGCGTCGCGCGAGGAACCGAATAAACCGGTATTAGCCTTATCCAATCCCCGTGTCACCGCGTATACGTGCGATTACTGTCGCATTAATATGCATCGTGCGAATTCACGAGCTGTTACGTGCGCATTTTTGAACCACGGTATACGTTTCTATTAACTGTACACGTTCATTTGTCTCTCACCGCACGATCGCATTCGTTATTTAGTTTTATGCGGGCGCTCCAAATAACAATCGCATTTGCATCTATTCCAGCCATAACATACCATGTGCACTGGCGGTTTAACATTGATAATCGACGGATTATCTCGAGAACTGATTTGTCACAATTTCGCATCGATAAATTTTATCGTTCTTTTAGCCGTTATTATTTTTCAACTGTTATTTACGACAAAGAATTTTTATAAAGACACATGGATCGTTTATAATTGTGTGAAATCAATTTAGGAGAGAAAGAGTCGAACTTGTCTTTCGATAAGTCAAAAATTCAGATATAAGGAATCGTAATTTTTACTTAAGAGGTAAAGAATCAATGACGCTAAAAGTAGTGCGTGGAAAAAAATTATCAATTGTATTGCGTAACAATTGGAACGTGTAAATTTTACATAATAGAAAACGCAAATTATATGCGAGAAAATTTGTCGACAGACGTTTCGATCTTAATCCAGGTCCTTTTCAATCAATCAAACAATGATCACCTTGTCAAACAATCAAATATGTATATTATGCCTGGAATTATTTTAAAATTTAATCAAAAAACAAAACAATAAATAAACTTTAGATATACAATAAACTTTAGATGAAAGGAGCTGGTGGAGTCGCATTTTTACTGAGCGCAAAATTATAAATTGGTATAAAGTATTCAATACAAGTTGAAAAATGCAGCCGAATTAATATTAGGAGAGATAGCAAAATCAAAAAACGTAATTGTCAGATATCCTTGCTCTGTATATATTCGAACAAACGGGAAATCGTGTCATCTCGCAACGAGCTATATGATAAGAGTGATGAGGGACTCGTTGAAAATGCTCCGCGGGCAACATGAAACTGCGTAATTAACTGTATAATTAATCGAGAATTGAAATTTGACGGAACTCGGCGATTTCATGCCACGGCGGAATAATGGAGAGTTATTAATACATTCGCGTAACGCGCGCATGGCAAAGGCGAATTCGGCCCAGTGGTGGCTGCGGAGAATGGGACAAAGTATAATTAGCCGAATATGCGAGCTAAATGAATTTTGCATTGCCGTTTAGCGCGCGCTCCAGAAAGCGAGTCGTGATTACTACAGGCATATTACGTAGATATGTACAATAGATAGATAGATATATGTGAGATTGTCGTGAGATTCCGATGTGAGTAATTCAGCATAAATTTCAAAGAATCGAGAAGAGGGAGGATGGAGCGCATTTTTATAATTCTGCGTCAGAAAAAAATTGCCCTATCGGGAAAATGGAGATTTTCCCGTTCAACGAAATACGTCATTTCCAGAGGAATGGAATATTTAATATATATAAATAGCTCTTTTATATTAAATTTTCGCACTAATTTGCGCATTAGTGACTCTTTGAAGAATAGAACACTGTGTTATTCGTTTATATTCCCTCTCTCTTGACGTACACTCGCATAATTGCATTGCTGCAAGTGCATTTGGTGCCAGAGGACACGCGATTTTGCGAAATTAATGTTCTTCTAACGGACGAGACAGGCGTGGAGTCCCTCGTGAAAGAAATAAGTCGGCGAGTCATACAAATCGCGGCCGCGCGCTCGCCTTTGCCTACTCTTCCTGTTATGCATATCTGAATATTTATCTTTCCGGAGTAACCGGCGCGCACATTCATCGAGCATGGAGAAGAGATAAATTCATGCACTTCGCCCGAGATAATTGCACTTCGGCTAGGTCCGCAGCTCATTTGCACTGCCGGAAGAAATGCGCTTTTTTTCGACGATGAAAGACGGTACTTTATTCGTTATTTGTATCAGCTTCCGCTTGCCGCCGTATGCCATTTCCGCCTTCCGAAAGCCTCGGCGGCAAGTTGTCCGAGCTAAAAACACCGTCGAAATGGAAAAGTCGGAGCGACATGTAACGAAGTCGCAATAATCTTTTAATTACGATGAATATTGAATTATTAACATAATTTTTTTCGATGTTTAATTAAGAAAATAAAAATCTTATTTTTTTATAATTAATGTTGTATTTAAATATCATAAATTTTAAATGGAAAAAATTGCGAATATAAAATAATGAAAAATCTAGTTTTTCCAGCTCAATCTGTAAAATTGAAAAATTCATATTTTTAGTAGTTTGATAGAAATTAGTCTTATCAGAATTTTTCCTCTAAATAGATTAGATAAATAGATAGAGGCTTGCGTCAGCACGAAGGTCTGTTCATAAAGATTAGAATTGTCCGTGATACCACGAAAATGCTTCGAAAGGCGATTTCACTCCCGATGAGATTTCCGATGGACTCACGAAGAGGAGGGCAATTTTCCTTTTTGTCGCGTATTATAGTTTCCAGTGGATTTCGAAAATTGGATCGCAAGCGTTGCATGGAGCTTGTCTTTGTCCTTATAATAGGACGATTCTAAAAAGTAATATCTCCACTTTGTCGAGCTAACAAAATAAAAATACTATGTTACATATTCTCTCTCTTTCTCTCTCTGTTTCTCAATAAATTTTTATAAAAATTAGTAATTTAAATTATATCGAATCTTTTTTTTTTAATTGAATGTTTTTTTATGCTTTATTAATCATGTTTCAATAAATTCAAGATATTTATATTGATAGAAAGGAGAGTTAATAAAATTATAATATTTCACTTTATAATGATCATAAATTATATGTAAAATATAAATTAAAAATATTTTCTTTACTAAATACTGCAGTTACTAAATATAAATCTTTAAACATATGGTTTTCTTTAATTATATGCTACTGAATGAAGTATTTGATCGATAATAATAGAAATTACTTCAATTCGCTTTTAATGTTATATTTTGATTGTCTGGAAACAGTATATTATGTTTTGCATTCTTTGAATATTACAATTTGATGTTGTAATTTAAGGAGACGGTCAGCTTTTAGAAGAATTTTAATAACATTTCTTCTTAAAAGCTGCTTTAAAATATTTGCAGATATTATAATTTTTATTACGAAAAAAAATCTTAAAGACGTGACTTCGTATTTGCATTAATAGAGCTCAATAAATTGCTTCGTTATCTTGATCAATGATATTAGTAAGCGCATTTGGGTTCTGCATAATTAAAAATGTGCCTTATTATGCTACTAAACATGAAAGGATCTTGTTAGAATGCAATCAAATTATAAACTGCATAAGAAGATTTAAAATTAAATTAAATTAAATTTTTATTAAGAAAGAATTCTTTAACTCCTCGCATTGCTATGCTGCAAATATAAAGCAATTATAGCAATCATTAATATGAAGACTGAAAATACAATTCTAGGAATGTCAGTCATAGTGCCCCTTATCTGATTAAATTTTCCTGATAATTTAGCCAATATTCGAGGAATTTCAATTTTATCTCACGGTTTCGAGATCGCGAAATATATCGGGAATGACGGGTTTTGCCGACCGTCGGAATTGGCTGAATTGACCGATGCCGAAGCTTCGAAGTTGCCGATTTCTGATTCGTTGCGAAGAGCCGTTGCAAGCGGCGAGATAACCGCAAAAGGGTAATGTGGCGTCGAAATTGGTTTGCACCGAGGCAGCCGGCGTGGCGCCCGCCGAAAATTATGGCAGTAACGGCACCCGGGTGGTTGCAGCCA